GAGAGAGAGAGAGAGAGACAGAGCATGAACGGGGGAGGGGCAGAGAGACAGGGAGACACAGAATCGGAAGCAGGCTCCAGGCTCTGAGCCATCAGCACAGAGCCCGATGCGGGGCTCGAACTCACGGACTACGAGATCGTGACCTGAGCTGAAGTCGGCCGCTTAACCGACTGAGCCACCCAGGCGCCCCTCTTTGAGTTCAATGAGTATTTGTTTCAGTTGCTTTACAGTTGCCGTCACTTTGCAGATCTCGTCGCTCAGAGTGAGGCTAAACGCACTCGGCGAAAAACGGATTGAAAAAACGTGATTCGTAAAAGAAGAGTTTGGTTCATGGCAAAAATCACAGCTGAGTTTGGGATTTACTGATACGGTTTTCTTCTCGGGAGGCGGTCACAGCCTGTTTGGTGGCATGGGCCTCTCTGGTGGCCTCGTGAAACTGACGTGTCACTTCTCAGAGTAACACGATTCGACGCATCGTAGCAATTGTGTGGATTGCAGAAGAACACCAGTTGTATTAAAATACAGTGATGGAAGTATTTTTATTATTTATTAATTCTTTAAGAGAGAGCGTGAGTGAGAGAGGGGCACAGAGAGAGAGGGGGGAGAGAGAGAGAGAATCCCGAAGTGGGGCTTGAGCTCAGCTGAAGCAGGGCTCAAACTCACGGACCGCGAGATCATGACCTGAGCCGAAAACCAAAGCCGGACGCTTAACCGACCGAGCCACCCAGGTGCCCCTCCTCATTCTTTTTCAATTCTGTGTAATATTCCATTGCTCGGCTCTGTCAGAGTTTACTTAGGCATTAATGAGGGCATTTCAGCCATTTCTAGTTTTTCCCTGGGCTGCAGGGAAAAGCCTCAGGCTTATGTCTTTGCGCACTGACCTGGTCAACTTCTTAGGGAAATTCATCGTAATTGGATTGCTGGATCTGCATTATTGTATATTAAAAAAAAAAGGGGGGGGATGCTATCCAGTCGCCTTCCAGTAAGAATGGGATGGATCACCCCTCCATCAGCCTGTACACTGATTGTGGTTTTCCTGTCCCCGATTTCCTCTCCCCACTCCAGATGTCAGCAGCCCCCTTCCCTGCGTGGAGGAGCACACGCTGGGGGTCAGACTATAATCTTCTTATGAGCACAGATGCTCCTCTCAGTTCTCCCTGTTTTGAAAGTAATTATCGGGGCACCTGGGTGGCTCAGTCGGTTAAACGTCTGACTTTGGCTCGGGTCACGATCTCGCCGTTGGTGAGTTCGAGCCCCGCATCCGGCTCTGTGCTGACAGCTCGGAGCCTGGGGCCTGCTTTGGATTTTGTGTCTCCCCCTCTCTCTGCCCCTCCCCTGCTCATGCTTTTTGTCTCTCTCTCTCTCAAAAATAAATCAACGTTAAAAAATTAACATTATTTATTTATTAAAATTAAAGAAAGAGTTTTATGTATTTATTTATTTTGAGAGACAGAGAGAGCATGAGCAGGGGCGGGGCAGAGAGAGGGAGAGAGAGAACCCCAAGCAGGCTTGTTGCAGTCAGCATGGACCCCGGGGTGGGGCTCGAACTCACGAACCTTGAGATCGTGAGCTGAGCTGAAATCGAGTCCGACGCTTAACTGACTGAGCCGCCCAGGCGCCCCTCAATTCTCCCTTTTATCGTAGAGCCACCCCTCCTCCCGACTCCTCTGCAGACTCTTCTTCTGACACTCCTCACCTACCCGGCTTCCTGTGGGGCTCCCTCTTTCCCGGGGGGAGGTTCCTGGTGAAATTCCCAAGCTCTTATGAGGAAAGGAGTGGGAATTCCTGGTGTGAAAGCTGAAGGCAAGGGAATGTGGCGCGTGCGAGCCGGACGAGTGTGAGAAACCAGATTCTGAGCACCTGGGAGGATGCTCTTCGTAGGATGTCACTGGATTTTCTTCTACTCAGTTTCCCCGTGTGACGCCTGAGGCTCAGAGGGGCACACAGTCTATAAGTGATGGGGGGGGGGGGCCTGAACCTGGGCCTGCCCAGTCCTAGATCCTGTGCTCTGTTCTCTGTTTCCTTTGGCCCTGTTCTGCCTTCCCTCCTCTCTTTCTCTCTCCTTACTCTCTCAAAACGACCACAGTAATGATGACGGCCGTCATTTGTTGAACGCTCGCTCTGTGCCAGCTACTGTTCCGTCTTTCACACGTATGAATTTCTTTTTTTTCCCTCAATGATCCTTTGAACTGGGGATTTTTACTATCCTTGTTTCACAGATGGGACAACCCAGGCACGGAGGAGAAGTTAAATATGATGTCAGTGGTGACCAGTAGAACAGCTCAAAAGGAAATTGTAAGGCACAGATTAGGGTAGCCGGGGATCGTTCCTGACTATTCTAGAGGGTCAACTACCTTTTTCCTAATGTTGACCAAAGACCTGAGCGCCGTTTTAAACATGGAAACCCAGGAGTTAAGTCTAAGTGACCCCGACTACTCAGCTCTTTGAGCTTTTGAATTAGGGAATTCAAAGACACACGCAACAGATTGAAGTATTTCAAGACGCTGTGTGTTCATTGATCAGGAAGAAGGTTCCTCAGCGGTGGAGCTCATTTAACTTCCAGTATACATACAGAACTATATGTAAACCCACCTGCCTAACGTATAAGGCATGAAAAGTTAGTGCCTAAATATATACGTCTGTTTATTTGATGCACTTGAGTACAAGTGGATCGCTTCACTCATCAGGGACGCCTTTGTTTCTTATGCTGTGACACATTTCTGGTGGATTCTCTGATCCCGTGGCTCAGCCAGCGGGGGGCATCTGTATGGGGGGCACTGATCCACAGTATTTCTCACCTTCTCTCTTTCAGTAAAGAATATCCCGTGGTTCCCAGGAGCACAGTAAGACAGAAAGTAGCCTCCAACCACAGTCCTTTCAGCAGTGAGCCTCGAGCTCTGTCCTCCTCGTCCAACTTGGGGTCCCAGTACCAGTGCGAGAATGGTGTATCCGGCCCCTCCCAGGATCTCCTGCCCCCGCCCAACCCATACCCACTGCCCCAGGAGCACAGCCAGATTTATCACTGCACCAAGAGGAAAGGTGAGTGTGACACTCCCTGCCTGCCCACCTTGCCTTTCTGTTTTTCCTTCCTTTCCTTGGGGGAAGAAAAGTACACACAACTACATTTGCTTATTTAAAAAACGTAAGCAATATAAAAACTCACAGAGGGGGGCGCCTGGGTGGCGCAGTCGGTTAAGCGTCCGACTTCAGCCAGGTCACGATCTCGCGGTCCGTGAGTTCGAGCCCCGTGTCGGGCTCTGGGCTGATGGCTCAGAGCCTGGAGCCTGTTTCCGATTCTGTGTCTCCCTCTCTCTCTGCCCCTCCCCCGTTCATGCTCTGTCTCTCTCTGTCCCCAAAATAAATAAAAACGTTG